TCTTCTTCTTCTTCTTCTTCTTCTTCTTCTTCTTCTTCTTCTTCTTCTTCTTCTTCTTCTTCTTCTTCTCCTTCTTCTCCTTCTTCTTCTTCTTCTTCTTTTCACTGGTCATGGAGCTTGAACTCAACACCTAGGCACTGTCCCTCAGCTCTTCAGCTCAAGGCAAGAGCTCTACCACTTTGAGCCACTTGTCTCATGGACAAGTCTCGTGAACTTCCCTGCCCAGACTGGCTTTGAACCAAGACCCTCAGCCTCCTGAGTAGCTAGGATTACAGGTGTGGGCCACCAGCACACGGCTAGGACCTTGCTGAAAGCCAAGAAAGTTCCAGACAAATAGAGACTGCCAGTCACCCTACTTCTGTGTTGTTAAAAATAGTAATAATACAAGCTGGTTGCTGGTGGCTTACACCTGTAATGCTAGCTATCTGGGAGGATCCTAGTTCAAAGCCAGCCCAGGGCAGGACAGTCTGTGAGATTTTTAGCTCCACTTACCCACACAAAAGCCAGAAGTAGAGCTATTGCTCAAGTGGTAGATCACTAGCCTGAGTTGGGGCCTCAGTGCCAGCACAAAATTAATCATAATCAGTATTAATGGCCCTATTGTTGCCATTGTGCCAGGGGTTTCCGATTGGGAGCAGATGACACAGATGTTCTCTGACATCAGGTATAGACAGGTGGGCTCCGCAGTGGGAACTCCTCACTCTGGAAGTTTATATCACTAAGTCCTGTGCCCAGCTCTCCTCCCTGATTCAGGGCTACAACCATCCTCTGGACCCCCAAGCCTCCCCTCCCAGTGTGTGCCCTGAGATAAAGCCCCATATATGGTGGCCCCATTGGGATCTTGAATGTGTGGCTGGCTGGCTCACCCCTGACGCTATACCAGAGAGCTGGATGAGCCCCACCGTCCATGCCACAGCCTGAGAGGTAGCTATTGGGCCCCATTTTACAGGTGGGCAAATCAAGGTGGAATGTGCCTGGCCCCAGGATACTAGGAAGCCAGAGAAGTCCAGGAAGCCAGGGTGGCCCTGCAGATCCCTTTGGGGGGGAGGGGGGAACCCTGTTGCCCCTTCCCCACCTCCCAGGTCCCCTCCACCTGGAAGACAGCCAGTATTTGGGGGCATCTGGTAGAAGCAATCCTTGGTGGGTGAGCAGAGAAATCAGGCAGGAGCAGGCTCCATACCTGTTAGAAACTACATGAGTAAGGAGAGACCATGCTGGGCTAGATGCAAAGGGCCAAAGGCCACTTCCTGCTGCCAGACTTGGCTGGCCCAGATTGCTCTAGGGCCCAGAGTCAGTCCTGGTGAAGGATCTCAGGACTAGGGGATGGGGGCAGTGATCCCAAGATACCTCAAGGGGAACAAGGGGCCAAGATGATCAGGATTCTCTAGCAGCCAAAAGAAAATGGCTAAGCAATTTGTGCACGTGTGTGTGTGTGCGTGTGTGTGTACATGTGTGTGCACGCGCGTGTGCGCATGTGCTGAGGCTTGAACTCAGCATCTTGTGCTTTCCCTTAGCTGTTTTACTCAAAGCTGGCTTTCTACCACTTGAGTCACAGTTCCACTTCTGGTTTTTTTGGGGTGGTTAATTGGAGCTAAGAGTCTCATAGACTTTCCTGCCTGGGGCTGGCTTTGAACTGCAATCCTCAGATCTGAGCCTCCTGAATAGCTAAGATTATAGGCATGAGCCACCTGCATCAAGCTACAAAAATGGCTCAGCTTGATCGGGCCCCAAAGCCTCCTAAGGCTCTGTGTCCTGGCCTGTCACATGGCACTGGTGATCTCAGCCACTTGGCCCTGCCAATCCCAGCTCCCCATGTTCTGGAGAAGGAAATCAACTGTGGAAGGCAGGCAGTGTAATCAGGGGCCAGGACCTGTGCTGTAAGACCCATGCTTTGCTTCCCCATCCCTCAGGGATCTAGTGGGGTGGGGGTGGGGCTCAACCCAGTAGGAATTACCACTGTCAGTAGCTGCTCCAGGCCAATAAACTGGGCCATTTAGGAAGCCATCTATCACCTCCATCTGTGGCACAGAGACTGAGGTCAGTGATGTGGCTGGGGGGCCGGGAGCAAGGGAGCAGGGGTGAAGAGACTGCTGGGGGCCGGGGAGGCCGGGGTACCTACATGATGGCACGCTTGCCGCACGACTCCTGGTTCCACCAGTACCGGCCGAGTAATTTCACTGGGATCTTGGAGGTCATCCTGTGGCACATGATGCTGCATTTCGTTACACCCTGGTGCTGTCCTGTGTCCAAAGAGGTCTCTGGTCAGCAGGGTTGTCCAGGGGCATTTGGTTTCCATTGTCCCCACCATTACCACCCAAGACAGAGCCGCATACCTTAAACAAATCCTCCTCCTCCTCCTCCTCCTCTTCCTCCTCCACCTCCTCCTCCTTCTCCTCCTCCTCCTCCCAAGCGGGCTGGACCTCTAGCTCCTGTGACACACCATTACTCTATACACTCTCATGGAGGCTGAGGGACTGGTGAAGAGGAGTCTTATTTATAAAACTTATTTTATCTGGTGTACAGGACATGTCTAATTTTTTTTAAAATGAGGTTGTGATTGTTGGCCATACAACTAGCAAGTGAGGGACAGGCTCTCCTACGAGGCTGTTCCATGGCCCTGCCCATCCCCCTTGCTCTGCCTTTAGCTGGGTAAAGTCACCGGCTTAGCCTTGGCCCCGTGTGTGAACTACACCTCTCCTTCCCGTGTGTGAACTATACCTCTCCTTCTTGGGCAGCTTCATGTTCATGGCTCCCAGACCTTTATCCATCCCAACACATTTCCCATGCCCAGCCTATGTGATGCGAGCACACACCAACAAACACGCTAGCACGTATATGTACCCAACCCAGCACGAGTGCACGTGTGCACACACAGCCAAGCAATATGCTTCATTAAATAGGTTAAGTACAGCCACCACGTGAGGGCGGGGCTTCTGCCGGATGCATGCCTCATGGAGAAGTGGTACTTGTAAGCCAGACACCAGTGGTTCTCTCGAGTGCTATTCTAGCCACATGGCAGACTGAGAATGGGAGGATCATGGTGACAGCCAGTCCAGGCAGAAAAGTCTATCAGACTTTTTCTCCCAGCAACTTCCGGAGGTCTAAAATAGGAGGATCAGGATCCAGGCACTTCCCAGACAGGAAGTGACATCTTATCTCAAAAATAACCAGGGAAGCCAGGCAGCAGTGAATGGCTCATGCCTACAATCCTAGCTACTCCGGAGGAGGAATGTGAGATTCTTGAGGAAGAATGGCAGAATGGGATGAGCAGGGCATGCAGATGGCTGAGAACCAAGTGAACCAATGGGAAACAGGACAGGACAAAATAGAACAGAGATAAAGGTGAAGGGACCCAATTATTTCACATAAACATGTGATGTACTTTGCATTCTATTTCTATCCCATTTCTGTCTCTCCCGCTACTCAAACCCCTCCAGCAGGCCGACAGCACACTGCATGTGTGCTGTGTACACACTGTGTGTGCGCTGGAGGCTCAGGGAAGATGGGTCCAAAAAAAAAAGAGAGAGAGAGAGAAAGAGCTTGAGTTTGGTCAGGTTTCTAGAAGGGTTTGCAAACATCCAGAATCCAAGCCTGTGAGGAAGACATAGGAAGATTTAAGCAGCCTCAGACCTTACCTGAAAAATAGCTTAAAGTAAAACAAGGCTGGGGGTGTGGCTCAAGTGATACAGCCTCTGCCTGAGTAAAAACCCTGAGTTCAAAATCCAGTACCATCAAATAGCTAAATACCCACAAAACAATAAAACTAGGCAAAGAGCCAATCCCTACCCCCAATCTTTCTCGCTCCCAGGAATCTGCCACCTCCTCTCCCCATAATTCCCTGTTGTCACTGCCCGCCTCATCTTGTGGGAAGGGTTTTTAGGGCTATAGGTCTGGGCTGGGTCCTCAAGGGCCTATAACTGTCATTCCCGGGAGAGAAGGAAGGTTGTTTCTGAGGAGCCTGATATGAAGTCACAGATCCTCTGGGTTCTCAGAATGGCCCAGCTGCAGCCTTCCTGGGTCCTGGGGATGGAGCCAGGTGGGTGGCCACCACTGCTGGTTTGGCAAGGGTCTCTCTGGGGGAAGCCCCAGGACAAATAGCCCTGAGCAACCTGAAACACAGGAGAAGGGAGGCTGTGTAGTGGGTGAGAGGAGGCCCCCAGAGTTGGAAGGCCACTGCCCACCTGCAGGGCTGTAAAGAGCCAGCCACAAAGGCACTTGGGGCCCTGAGCCCCCCATCTTCTACCCCAGTGCTCTTGGCTGAGCTCAGGGCTTGGTACTACTAGGGAGGCTTTGTACAAACTCAGGAAGGCCTTTCCCTTCCTGGGGCCAAGGTTTGTTTTTCTATAAAGGGAGATGAGGCCTCCAGCCAGCCAGTCATCTGCTCTCAAATGAGCATCCGAAGAACAGCAGGGACCTCGTCTGTCTCGGTGTCAGTTTTTTCTAGCATCAAGCACAAAGTATGGACTCAATAAATGTTCATAAAATAAAGCCATGTCTCAGTCCATTCATCTCTCCTTTATACTCTGACCCATTTACCCATCCATCCATGCACCTAGCTGCTCATCCATCTAGCTACCTGCCATATCTCCATCATCCATCCGTCTACTATCTCTCCATCTTCCATCCATCCATCCATCATCTCTCTACCATTTGCTTCTCCATCCACCCATCCATTTCTCCATCCACCCCTCCCTCTTTCCATTTGTTCCTCCCTCCCTTCACCCTATCCACTCATCCATTCATCCACCATCTCTCCACCATCCATCCCTGTACCACGTCTCCATCATCTATTTACCCATCCACTCTCTCTCTCTCCATTATTCTTCAGCCATCCATCGGCCATATATCATTCATTCATCCTTTTCTCCCCTTTTCCCTTTACTCCTCCCTTCTTCCCTCCATCCCATCCACCAATCTACCTACCCGTTTGTCCTCTCCTGTCAATCTCCTGCTCACCCTGTGTGCATACCTATCTCCTCTCACTGCCTCATTCTCATCCATCCACCTACCCATTCCAGTCACCCACCTGGCATCTGTCCATCTTCTCCTACCATTCATCTCCCACAAGCTCATTCACCAGTCATCCATCCACCCACCCACCCATCCATCCATCCATCCATCCATCCACCCATCCATCCATCCATCCACCCATCCATCCATCCACCCACCCACCCACCCATCCACCCACCCATCCATCCATCCATCCATCCACCCATCCATCCACCC